CGAATGATCTGGAGCTGATATTAGAACAAAAATATAATAATATAAGAATATATACCACAATATTTAACTCCGACATTACAGATGGAGCACCTTTTCTCTGACACCTGAACCTAAGTCACCCTGGTCTCTGTATTTCCGCCTCTTCGACTCGGGGTTAACGCCTCGGTCCGGCCTCTGGTTTACAATTTCCCCCGAGCGATACATTACCTCCAAACCACTCCCCATATTACCCATAATGCACCAAACAAAGCCATAAATAACCCTGGCGTGAATCTGAACCCGGCTCCACATTCCAGGAGAACGCGGTTTAATTTATACCATCTGTGCTCGTGTGAAAGTGTTTAAGATTCAAACGGTGCTTCCTCCTCGTTCCATTTTCAGATTAAAGTTGTAAGAGCATCGGTGTTCTGTCATCTTGAAAACATTACCAGTAATAGCGGCTCACTTGGCAAAAAGCACAAATAATTTTCAAAATGGCGTCGCTCAGGTTGTGGACGAGGACAAACGAGCGCATTATGTGTATGAAAACAAGCGCACGAACGAGAGCGGCGACTCCGGGACCAAATGGGCTTTTATATCGTAATGTTTATTGTAATTCAGAAAGTGGATAATGTTGGTTTAATGTTGTTGCTTTGTCTGAAATGTTTCACAGTATGGCATTAAACCTTTTGGGACCAGACCAGGTTATGGGTCAGGTCTGTGGAGAGGTATTTTAGGTTTGGAAATTTTGTCACGCACCTCTGGATCACAAGTCCAAGATTAGTCCTGGTTTAGTCCTGGTTTAGTCCTGGTTTAGACCTGGTTTTGTCCTTGTTTAGACCTGGTTTAGTCCTGGTTCAGACCTGGTTTAGACGTGGTTTAGTCCTGGTTTAGACCTGGTTTAGACGTGGTTTAGTCGTGGTTTAGTCCTGCTTTAGTCCTGGTTTAGACCTGGTTTAGACCTGTTTTAGACTTGTTTTAGTCCTGGTTTAGTCCTGGTTTAGACCTGGTTTAGACTTGGTTTAGAACTGGTTTAGTCCTGGTTTAGTCCTGGTTTAGACCTGGTTTAGAAAGAGCACATTTTCCGGAGGCTGTGGTCAGTCCGAGCGTCTGTGGGTCTGTTTTGTGGCGTTTCAGACAGAGCAGTGCCTCCAGTTGTCGTCAGTGTTCCCTGTGGATGTGAAGTACCTTTACATTCACTCTGCCTCTTCTGCGCCGTTTTCTCTCTGTCCCTCGTCTGTTTTGGAGTCTCGGTGCGGCGGGAGCCTCTCCTCTCTCCCCGCGTCCGCGATCCGTCTCTGTCAGCGCTCGGTCGTGAACGGTTCCACATTCTCTATTTCTTTTTCATTTACTTTTACAAACCGAGAAAACACCTCGAGCTCCACCAGTGTAATTAGATCGACTTTACTCACGGAGCCTGGAGCCTGTTACTCGCTCCAGCAAACTTTGTGTGAGCCGCCGTGCACTTTTAACGGCCCGGATCACACGAGGTTTTCTGATCTGTAGAGCGTTATAATGCGGTTTCCTCGTCGCAAACGGAGCTGCGGTTGGGCTTTGTTTTCGTTCACACACGTTTAAAAGTGGATTGTGTCGCTGGAATGTTTCACAGTGTGGCATTAAACCTTTCTATCTTCATGGAGACAGACACCAGACTGTGCTCAGAATGTTGTTTTTCGAGGTATTTTTGAGTTGTAGAACCTCCTGTGATTGAATAAATGTAAGGTTAGGGTGACCATATTTCTATTTGTGAAAACCCGGACACCTTGGGGACCGAGTTCAAGACAAGACCGAGTCCAAGCTCCTTCAAGACCGAGACAAGACCGAGTCCAAGTGCCCTAAAGATCGAGTTCAAACGCCTTAAAGACCGAGACAAGAGTGAGTCCAAACACTTTAAAGATCATCGAGTCCAAGCCCCTTCAAGATCGAGGCAAGACCGAGTCTAAACATGGTCGAGTCCGAGACAAGACCAAAACTGTAAAAAAAAAAAAAACGGTCTCGAGACCAAGACCAGTCTCAAATACTCGAGTACTGTGACAGTAGTAAAAAGAGCTGTTAACTTGAAAACTTCATGACATCACAAGGTGGACCAGAGCATTTTGAGTTTTGGAGATGTAGACAGACTCATAATAAAGTTTTACTCAAACATGTGAATGAAACAAACACAAGTCCAGGTTTGTTTTTGAGGAGGACACAACATTATAACATAGATCAGGAAATAACGTAAACATTTAAACAATAATAAACTGACACACCTCCTCTTTCTCTCTCTCTTTCTCTCTTTCTTTCTCTCTTTCTTTCTCTCTCTTTCTTTCTTTCTTTCTTTAGGTATCACGTGTGGCCCAAGGGTCACGCTCCCACAAACTACGCAAAGTGGCGGACAGCGACGACGCCGTACCGCGTGGAGTGGGAGGCGGACTTTGAGCCGTACGTGGTCGTGAGGAGGGACTGTCCCGAGTACGACCAGCGCTTCGTCGGATTCGGCTGGAACAAGGTCTCCCACATCATGGAGCTGGACGCACAGGTACTCAAGACCGGACTGGACCTGGACTGGACCTGGACTGGACCTGGACTGGACTGGACTGGACTTGGACTGGACTGGACGGAGTGGACCAGAACTAAACTTACAACAGGGCTAAACAGGACTTTGTTGCCATACCAGCTGGTCAAAACCCGGTCCCATCAGATCTCAGAGGTCTGGACCTGGTCAGGACTTGGATGGAGACACTGGGAAAATCAGGAGCCTCAGGAGGCGCCAGTCAAAAAAACTGTTGTTGTGTCCTTAGGCAAGACACTTCACTCCCATTGCCTAGTATGAAAGTGGAGTGTGTGAGTGATGGTGATGTTCAGAGGGGCAGATTGGCAGCCTCGCTTCCATCAGTCTGCCCCAGGGCAGCTGTGGCTACAATAGTTGTTTACCCTCACTGAGTGTGGAGTGAATGAACAATGATCTGTAAAACTTTTGGGTGTCTTGAAAGACACTGTATAAATGCAAGAATTAATTAATTAATTAATTAAAACAGGCCTAAACCAGGACCAAACTGGGACTGGTTGTGAGGGACAAAAGAGATGTAGTTACCTGGACCTGGACTGAACCCAGACTAGACCTGAATTAGACCTGGATTGGATCTGGACTGAACTTGGATTGGACCTGGACTCGACCTGGACTCGACTCGACCTGGACTTGACCTGGACCACACAGGTACAAAAGAGAAATGGTTTCCAGGGCTAGACCTGGACTAGACCTGGACTGGATCTGGACTGAACCTAAACCGAACCTGGACTAGTCCTGGACTGGATCTGGACTACACAGGTACAAAAGAGAAACAGTTTCCTGGACTCAACCTGGACTCGACTTGGACTCTACTTGGACTCGACCTGGATTCGACCTGGTCTCATTGTGAACTGGATCTGGTCTCGACCTGCACTCGACCTGGACTGGATCTGGACTGGACCTGAACTGGATCTGGACTTGACCTGGACTAGACCTGGCCTGGATCTGGACTGAATGTGAACTCGACCTGGACTCGAACTGAACTGGATCTAGTCTTGACCTGGAGTGGATCTGGACTTTACTGAACTGGACCTGAACTGGACCTAAACTGGATCTGGACTTGACCTGGACTCGACCTGGGCTAGACCTGGATGCCAAAATAATTGTTCACTATTTCATACATATCGCAATTACCACAACAGCCCCACATATGAAATACTTTTTTTTTTTTTTTTTACATATTTTAAAAACTGAAAACGCAGAATTGTTGAATTTGATCCGTTTCTGAGAGATCTGGAGCTGAGTGATGTTAATCTGATCAATAAATGTCCGTCGCTTTGACAGTGATCGAGTCTTTGTGTGGAAAATTCCCCGAGATTCTGAAGGTAAAAAGGATGATTTCATTTCCATTTTTGCTTCAGCATTTTATAGTTTACAGCCTTGACACGATCTGACATCTGAAAGCTCCGGTGTGCGTCTTTACTCGGAAACGCGCTTTAATAATTCACATTTCATTCACTGGGAGATTGAGCCGTACGAATGCAGCAGCTCCTGATTTATTTAAAGTATGATTCACGTCAAATTCGAGTTTTAACTTCATAACTCAGGACATTAGAGACAAACAGCTGCAGAATCGCCGCAGAACGAGTCCCCGGGGCCCAAAGCTTCGGCTCGTTCTGAATCCGCGTGAGGTAAAAACACTTCTGCCGTCGTTTAGATTTAAAATGTTAATTGAGCGAAAGTTCAAGTGTTCAGAACGAGCCTCCGCTGATTAGAAAAATCTTAATCATGAAGTAAGAGGCAATTTAACGCCAACGACATGACTAATGCATCTCACAGAGACCGGGACCAGACCTGGACTGAACCTGGACTGGACCAAAACTAGATCTGGACTGAACCTGGACTGAAACAGGACTGAACCGGGACTAGAACTGGGCTAAACTAGGACTGGGCTAGACCTGGACTAGACCTGGACTAGACCTGGACTAGACCTGGACTAGATCTGGGCTAGACGTGGACAGAACCAGGACTAGACCTGGACTGAACCTGGGCTAAACCTGGACAAAACCGGCCCTAGACCGGGACTAGACCAGACTGAAGCTGGGCTAAACCGGGACTAGACCAGGACTAGACCTGAATTAAACCAGGACCTGGGCTAAACATGGAGTAAACTTGGTTTAAATGTGGACTAAATGTAAACTAGACTGGGATTAGACCAGGGCTTGACCGGGACTAGGCCTGGACTAAACCTGGACCTAACCAGGACCAGACCAGGACCAGACCTGGACTAAACCTGGACTGAAACAGGACTGAACCGGGACTAGACCTGGACTAGACCTGGGCTATACCTGGATAGAACCAGGACTAACCAGGACTAGACCAGGATTAGACCAGGACTGAACCGGGGCTAGATCAAGTTTAGACCAGGATTAGACCAGGACTAGACCAGGACAGAACCTGGCCTAAACCTGGCCTAAACCGGCCCTAGACCGGGACTAGACCAGAACTGAAGATGAGCTAAACCGGGACTAGGCCAGGACTAGACCTGAATTAAACCGGGACCTGGGCTAAACCTGGAGTAAATCTGGTTTAAAGTGTGAACTAAATGTGAACTAGACTGGGATTAGACCAGGACTCAACCGGAGCTAGACCTGAACTAAACCTTGTCTAAACCTGTATTAGACTAAACTGGGACTAGACTGGAATTCGACTGGGACTAGACCGGCACTAGGCTGGGACTAGACTGGGACTAGACAGAGACTAGACCTAGACTAGACTGTCACTAGACCGGGACTAGACCGGGACTAGACTGGCGCTAGGCTGGGACTAGGCTGGGACTAGGCTGGGACTAGGCTGGGACTAGACTGGGACTAGTGCCTAGACTAATCCTGGACTAAACTGGGACTAGACTGGGACTAGATTGGGACTAGACTGGGACTAGACGGAATAGTGCCTAGACTAAATCCTGGACTAGACTGGGACTAGACTGGGACTAGACTGGGACTAGACTGGGACTAGACTAGACTAGGGACTAGACTAGACTGGACTTAGACTGGGACTAGACTGGGACTAGTGACCTGGACTAGATTGGGACTGGGACTAAGACTGGGACTAGACTGGGACTAGTTTAGACTAGACTGAGACTAGACGTGGACTATACTGGGACTAGACCGGTGCTAGACCGGGACTAGACTGGTATTCAACCTGGACTCAACCTGGACATCTCCATGGAAACAGGCAGGTGAATGTTCCGCGGTGGATCTTTAAGAGTCCTGGAGCAGTGTGTGTTTGTGTTTTTGTGTTTTTGTGTTTTTGTCCTGCGGGTCTGACAAAAACAGACTCGCTCCAGTCAAACCCGGACGCGCCCGTGTGTGTCCTGTTAGCGTAATAGCCGCCGCCGCCGCCGCCGCCGTAGACCTGCTCCTCCGAGGTTCTGGTGTCAGGCTCCGGTAACCATGACGACGCATTTACATAATATCGTGCTAGAATTACAGCAGAAAGTTCAATTCCCAAACGTGTGTGTCTGTGTTTTTTCTTTTTTAGTTTTTTTTTTTTTTTTCCCCTCTGTGAAAACTTTCTGTGGTTTGTGGAGTGGAGAAGCCGGAGTTTTAATTAAGCCAGGAAGACCATATTCCCAACTTTATTTTATGCAAGAGGAATTTTCAGTCAAAATTCAAATTCGGCTCAGAATATTAACGAGGTTTTGAGTTGGATTTTGTTGGTTATAGAGCAGAATGACATTAGTTTTTAAAGGGCACATGTTGCGTTCTTTTCTGATTTATGTTATAATGAAGTTTTCTCAGCACAAACAGACCTGGAGTTGTGTTTTTTTTGTTTCATTCTCACATTTTTAACACAGAAACCTGCAGATTTAAGATGAGTTCTTCTCTCAAACACTAAAAAACACTCTGCTCCACCTTGTGATGTCATGTGGTGATTGTTACAGGCCCAGACCTCCAGTTCTGACTTGTTTTGTGTGTTTTAGGGCCTGTTTACACGAGAATGACAAAATGTTTTATGGGAAGTGCCTTTCGTTTAGACTGTGACGGCATTTTTGGGGTTTAAAAACACAAACATTTGAAACGACGCGTACGCGACCTGAGCACATCTGACCAGAGTTTTGCGTCTTGGGCAGTGTAGACGGAAACACTACGGCGGAGCAGATTCAACTTTTCCACTCTGGAGGGTGGTTTCAGATTTTTGCGTTTTTAAACCCCAAAACCGCCGTCACCGTCTAAACCAAACATGTCAAACTCAGGGCCGGGGGCTAAACTTGGCCCACGATATGATTATATTTGGCCCGCAAGATCATGTCAGATATGTATTACACCTGGACCGCCTGCCGCACCAGTATGGCATATGCACATATAATACTACGAATCCCAGGATGCTTTGCAAATGTGTTGCTGCTTTTTGACTGGCTGTTGGCTTGTGAAAAAAAAAAAAAAACATTTAAAAGGAGCTCAAAAGCTACAGATAAACTATAGAGATATTCCATCCATCCATTTTCGTCCGCTTATCCGGGGCCATCAGTCTAAGCAGCGACTCCCAGACTTCCCTCACCCCAGACACTTCCTCCAGCGTGTCTGATGTATAGAGACATTATTTATTTAAAATGTTGTTATTATTTTATATTTTGCTTGTTCTGGATTCAATGTTTAAGCAAAACTATTATTAAATATTTATTTTCATAAGAAAAGGTTTAATATTACATATCTGGAAAGAAGAGAAAACATGCAGATGCTGTTGAAATTTTTAAATAAATATTTAGTTTGGCCCACGACTTAGTCCCATTTTTTAAAATTTTTACTTCTATGAATTTGAGTTTGGCTCTTGCTCTAAACGAGAGGCACTTCTGATAAAACATATTGTCGTTTTTATCCGCATGTGTTCTAAACACACCCTTATTCTCATTTTTTGCATAACTCTACAAGACTCATTTTTGGCACAAAACTCGTTACATGTTAATAGTTTTATTTTGCTCTTAGTTTAGGTTATTTTCTGCACATATTTTCCGTGTTTTGTTAGTT